GATGGCTCGGAAAACAGCTGCTTAGCAGTGGCACATCAGAGCACCTTATTGTGGCAAGCAGGTTCTTGAAACATTCCCAGTCCTGGTCCTGATCGGAGGCAGAACGTGTAGTTTTTTAATTGCATTGGCAAAGTGCCCAAGCACCCAGACATTCAGAAAAAGACAGAGAACAGAGATAGAGCAGTATTCAGAAACAGAAAAGAGGATACTGATTCCAGCCACATTCACAAATGAGCCAGATTTCCAAAAGGCATCTTTACTCCCACTTCAAGATTATCTCTACTCGTTTGCTCCTAAGAAGACTGAATTCGAAGTGTGACCCATGCATCTTCTACAGCCACCTTCCTGCCTCCCCCACATCTGTGTGCATAAATCTTTCCTCATTATTTCAGAACCGTTTATATTTCCTTCCTGAGGGGTGAGCGTTGTGGCCATGGAGAGCTGCAAGGCAAACCGCTGACGCACCTGCCATTGCCATCCCTGCTGGCTCCGTCCGAAGCACCCCAGGGTCCTTTCTGGACGTGGCTGCGGGTGTGCATGGTGCTCCACACCCTCAGAGATCCCCACGGGGGCTTCCCTGTCAGGCAAGGCTCCATGCAGGGCGCATGGCCAGGGGAGGACTCTCTGCGGAGCCTTCCTGGGGGAGCCCAGCTGGGCCTGATCCGTACAGGTGAGGTGGAGCCGCAGTCCGGCGAACACATCGTTGTGCTGCTGCATATGGAGGAGCTGCTTCGACAGACTCTGCGTCCCCAGGGCTTACCTTTCTGCTCCTCAATGGCGTCAGTTAGGTATCTGCTCTCCTCCTGGATTCGTTCTTCTAAGCTTCTCTTGCCCAAACCAAAGTTTCTCAGCGTGGATAAGGCAAACCGCCTTTGCTGCTTCCAGCTGAGCCCGTTGGAGAAGATCAGTCCTAGATGGGGGGGATTAATGGGACAGCAGTGAGCACCTGGGCATCCCTTTGACGTGGGAAAGGCAGACTCCCTTCACTCTTTAGGCCATTCCTTTGCCCTGCTCATGGCACAAGTCCTCAAGGCGTTAGGTGAAGATGAAGTTTTTTTGTGGATTTCTCTGCTTATCTTGACTATCTTTTCAAGTTCCTTCTTGCTGCCCTAACAAGTCTCATCTGAGGCAGAGAGCAAACACAGGCAAAGAACTCACCTTTTTACCCACAGACACAATAGTTAAGGTATCAGAAGCAATGCAACAATTAGCACAGGCGTATTTATTCCCATGGAGACAAGTACAGAGAGAAGCAGTACGAAGATCAGGGATCAGGGAATGGGAGGGGGCAAGTGCTGACCCCAGGAGGGGACCAGCTCTGAGCACAGGCCGGGCATCCCAGCCTATGGGCACCGCACACCCGTCTTGCCCACACAAGGGACAGCTGTCCATGGCCTACCTTGCAAGACAGGCAGCTTCCGTGTTAGGCAGGAAGTGCTTTGCCTCTTGAGAAATACCAAATAAGTTTGGGATTAGATAGGCATATCTGCTGTGTATTTGGGCACACCCTTTAAAAATCAAACTGGCAAACAAACATTGGAACCTTACTAAAAGAAACTCACCATATGGCCCAAAGACTTCACGTATAAAAGCCATTTCTGGACGATCTACAAAGTCTTCACCATGATGGACAAGGACCTCCTTCACCAGCGGCTGCCCACTCACAACCACAAACTTCATGCTTCCAACCTCCACGCTGAAGACGTTGCCATGTTTTTCTCTAAGCTGAAGAGGGAAGTGGACAAGACCAGATGCATTCCAGGTTCATCTGTCGAACTGACGCTCACTTAATGTCATCCTTTCTGGAAGCTGGGTCACTTTAGTTTCTGCTCTCCAAGAACAAGCGGCCCCCTCTTGGCCTTGCCGTCTGCGAGTCTTGAGGATCGCCCAGAACGGGGGAGAGCGAGTGGATGGGGAGAACCGAGTGTGGGGCGCGGGGAATCTGCCGCTGTTTCCCACACTCGGCACTCTCGAGGAAATGCTTCTCCTGTTTACTTGAGCGACCGGTACAACAAAACCAACTGATACCATGTTTTATTGATCAAAATCACTTCTTTGCCATATATTTTAAAGGCTAAGAAAGCATCTGTGAAAATAAATGCTATTTGGTTGGTTTTGTCAGGACAAAAGGAGCAAAGCCTTTGCCCTAATATGGCCACTAAAAGCCTGCCAAAGACTTAACAGCTGAAGACCTCAGATGGGATTCCTGACCTGATTAGGATGCGAGTCTGGCTTCCCAGGTACCCCTTCGAAATGCTCGTGTCCCTGTCCTGAAAGGCCAGTCCTTGGGGGCACCCCTTAGATTGCTGATATCTGCCCTTCCTGCAGGCTCTCCTCTCCTGTCGTGTGTCCATCCCCGTTTGCTTTCCCCTCGTGTGCCCCCAGCAAGCGGCGTACCAGATCCCCAGACTCCTCCAAACTGCATGTAACTGGTAAGGTGTAAAAGCGACTCAGACAGAGTTCATCTGGAAAGTCCCTTCAGGGCTGCCTGTGTGTTGCATGTAATTCCAGGATGAGTGAATACCCAGCTGGAGTTCTTTTGATTGCAAACCCCAGCCACCCCTTTATGGGTGGATTTCCACTGAGGACAGTTTCCCTTGGCTGAGCCACGCTGGCGCTGGAGGGCCACGTGGGCAGAGCTGGGGCTCGGTGCCCTCTGCTCCTGCCTGCAGGTGCCAAGCCCCTCCCTGCATCCCACGCTGGGCAGTGAGCCAATTCTTGAATGTTTGCCCCATGGGTGCCGTCCTGTGTTGAGACTCTGAACCATGACTTGGGTGTGTCTCTGGGGGAAACTGGTAGACCAGCAACTGCGCGCATGGCGGTGGAAATGCTCATTAGCAGAAGCAAACAGGAATGGGCATAATTGGACTTTGGGGGACCAGAGTTCAGGCTGCCACAGAAAGGGGGAGCACGCTCCACGGAGCCTCCCAGCAGCCTCGCTTCTACTGTTTGAGGGACCCTGTGGAGGAGAGGAGCTCCTTCTGTGCACGTGGGATTTCCTGGAATCAGTGACCTCAAGGGGCCCTTGCAGGCTGCCTAGATCCGCCCCAATCTTGGTGCCGTAATGACAGAGCCAGACCCACAGCAATGGGCCAGCCTCTGCTGAAGCCTCCGCAGGGAGTGCCCCCCTCCCTGCCCTCTGGGCGCTTGGCTCCATAGCCAAACAAGTCCCACTGAAGCCCAATCTCCTCTTCTGGAGCCCCGTGAGTCACCAGGCTGTTCGAAAGGTCCCCATAGATACCTTGGGGGCAGCAGGGAACATCTGAAGAGTGGTGTCCGCTTGGCCCTAAGGCTTCTTTTCTTCAGAGTAAAACTTCCCAGTTCTTCCCCCCTTTCCTGAAGGATTCGTGTTCCAGACCACTGAGCATCCAGTGCCCTCCTCCCAACCTTTTCCAGCCTTTCGGAATCCTTTGGAAACCGCAGTATCCGGACATGTTCTCTTGCAGCCCTTGTCCCTCCAACTGGCCCCGATCCTTACCTTCTCTATATCGGAAAGAGGATTCTTGGCACCAAACTGCAGAATATTGCCCAGGATGGGAAGACGCACGGGGCCCGGAGGATACCCCCTGGGACGCCTGCCTTTCAGGTAGTCGGCAAGGAGCAGGAAGGTAGCCAGGAACACCAGAATGACAGAGAGAGACAAGCCCTCCTGGAGTGCGGAAAGTAAGTGGCGCAGCATCTTCATGCGCTGCCAGCCAAGCCAGACTGTCCGTAGAGGGAAGCCGGCAAGAGGAGCTCTGCCTTTCTCTCGGCGGGTGTTGTATTTTCGAGCAGCTATTGCAAGAATGAGGTCAAAGGCTGCCTGCCAACGGGCAACACACCACTCCCACCGAACCGAAACTGACTCACCTTCCCCTAACAAGGAAGAGGCGGAGAAAATGAGCTTTGCCAAACGCATTCTGAGGCTTGAAGGTTGTGCTGTGCCCTCCCCCCCGCAATACTCCACGCATGGAAATGGCTCTGCCTCAGTTCAGTGCGGAGGGCAAAGCTGCCCCTCCATGGCACCTGAGGCTCGATAAGGGGGTGCCACGCAAGCCCCACGGCAGGCTGTCCTGCCCCCCAGCAGCCCCCTGCCGTGACCCCCTGCTGTCAACAGCATCCCAGCAGATTCCTGCCTGCGCTCACCCTCCCCAACTTCGGGATCGATGCCCTGCCATTCCCTGGCTGGCCGTGCGCTGTCAGCGGGGCGGGCTCCTGGGCTCCATTGCTCCAGCCCTTGGGACCAAGGCAGGGTCTGCAGCCTGGATCTCTGGCTCAGGTGCCGTTCCAGCTCACGTTTCCCCTGTGAAATGCAGCAGAGAGGCAGAATCTTCAGACAGATTTAAAGCAATGGGGATGGTGTCAACGGGGAAGATCTGGACCACAGCTCCCATCTGCTAGGCTGCCTGGGAATGATGGGAACTCTAGTCCAACACATCCAGGTGGATCCAGGATGGGGAAGCCTGTCTAGGGGAACGATCCCGAGCATGGTGTCCGCAAAGCGCTCTCCCTTTCAAAACTGTAGTTCAGATTTTTCAGAAATGAAAAGTTCCCCTTGATTTTGTTGTCCCTGCTGCTGATCAGCTGCTCTGCAGGCAGGAAGGTCTGGAGAGCGTTGCTTCCTGGCCCGAGCCAGTGCAAAATGCAAAAGAGCAACTAGCTATGCAAAGCGCTCCAGGGAAAAATAGGAAGAGGCAGGGCTCCAAGGGAACCCTACCCGTGTGAATGTGCTGGAGGGGTTGTCCTCCCACTGGCAAAATTCAGTGAAATTGTCAAGTCCCCCCCACCCCCACCCCACCCCGTTGGCTGCCTCACCTGTTTCTCTGCTCACAAAGAGGCTGCAGGATTTTGCACGTTGCATTGGATGCAGTCTCCGCCTGGTGTATGCACATGGGAAAGGCCGCATTGTTTAGGCATCCTTCAGAACAGTCTGGAAAATGAATCCCGCTCTGGGATGGAAGGCATTGCTTAGATTTTGTTGGATCAAGCTTGCCATTCAGAAACACATTTCTCCAACTTGACAAAAAGATGATTGGCTTGTCATCTTTAAACTTGGCTTTTAAATGTTTTTCATGCTGGCTGGGACACTTCAAGGAGCCAGTAGGTTATTACACTTAGAAACCAGAAATCTGACCAAGTCCTCACGAAACATATCATTCACAAAAGGCATGAAGATGGAGGGGTTGGTTTCTACCAAGCCAAACGGCATCATCAGATATTTCAAAGTGGCATATCATGTGTGGAAAGCTCTTTTCTAGTTTTCCAAAGAAAAGTCTTTGGAATCAAGCTGCCAAGATCTGGCCTCGCCACCCAGTCCTTTCGCCTTCCAGGCTGATCAAGATAGTCTTTTTTGATTCACCAAGATGATTTCAGGCATCGCTCTGAACTGTGATGCACTAGGAGCAGCAGCACTACCCCTCTGAGGGGACCTTCTTCTCCCTTTTGTATTTCGAAGTATGGTCTGCTGCAGGAGCTCTGTTGTGCTGCTGAGGAACCAGAACTTCTGGCCTGCTTGTCCCCTGTGCAACAATGCTCAGAAACAGCCACATACCCCACCCCAGTGCAGTCCAGTTGCATCGCATCGCATCGCATCCTGGCCTCCCTCGGTCCAAGGGCCAGGGGAGACACTGCTCATAGGCATCTTGCTCTTGGAAGTACCAGCAGTTGCCTCCTGCCTTTCCCCTTTCAGGGAGCTCAGGGGGCTTACAAGATTTTCCTCCTCCTCTAAAGGTTATCCTCACAGTAACGCCTCTGCTAGGTAGCTTGGGCTGAGAGTCCGTGACTTAGTCTGTGAAATCCCTTGTTTGCAGCTAACTTGACCACAATGGCACCGGGAGGTGGCCTCGGGGCACCGCTGTCTCTTAGGGGCAGTCACCCATCAGTACCCCCAGAGTCGTATGGGCTTGCTGACATTACAAAGTCGCTGTCAGGATTCCTGAGAGGAAGGGATGCAGGATGCTTTCAAGCAGGAGAATGACAGCATCAAACTTCTTCCTTTGGAACGGCATGATGGGACGATGCCCATTGTGGCAGAGATGCAATGCAATGGACCCTCCAAGGGTCCCTGCTTCCTGGGGCTCAGCCCAGACCCAGCTGGGTCTGCAGGCAGGTGGAGGCGGAGCAGCAAGGCTGAGCAGGACACGCGGCAGCTGCCTGGGACAAGTGGGGAGGGCAGCGTCCAGTTCCCAGGAGGTCGCCGTGCCCCCTGCCTTTCAGTCCATTGCTCCCGTGCAGCCGT